TCGTCGCCCCTCTGGGCCACGTGCGCCGTGCCGGGGGGGGCCCAAACATCCACGGTGGCGGGCTGCCACCTGCCCACAACGCGCCTTCTTGAATGCTAATATTACATCTTCATGTACGGCCCCCCGCAGTTGCGGGGAAAAGTGAAGGGGGTGGCGGGGTTGCGGGCAGTCTGCGAAGCCTCGTAAGGAGCCCGCCGCAGGCGTGTGTGATATATATATATATATATATATAGATATAGATATATATATATATTATGATGTGTTGGTTGTTTTGTTTGTTACGAGACAGCCGCAGGCGCCAATGCTTTCGCCAGGGCAAATTTGGGTGGGTCGCGGCGGGTTGCAGGGCGGGTCGTCAGGCAGGTCGCCAGCGGGTCGCGGGCGAGGGCGACGACAGCAATAACGCAACAACGCAGCGCCAACAACACCAACAACAACAGCGCCACCAGCAACAACAACACAACAACAACGCATCAACAATCCTCACCGCGGGCCCCCGCTTCAGCCACGCGCCCAGGTGCAATGAATGACCGTTCGGCCTCCTCGCTCTGATATGCATATATATATATATAGACAGAGGGGGAGCGGGAGAAAGAGAAAGCGAGAGAGAGATGGAGAGGGAGGGGGGGGGGGGAGAGAGAGAGAGAGAGAGAGAGAGAGAGAGAGAGAGAGAGAGAGAGGAGAGAGAGAGAGGAGAGAGAGAGAGAGAGAGAGAGAGAGAGAAGAGAGAGAGTCGGAGAGAGAGAGAGAAGAGAATACATACTATTAAACTAAAGGGAGGGGGAGGGGGGGGGGGGGTGAGCGGGAAGGCCAGGAGGAGGGCGCGGTTAATGCCGAGGGAGGTGAATGACCACAAGGGTCCGACGCCATAATGTTTGGCCACATCGATTTTGCGGACGCACCTTTAGCAAGTAAGTCCTCTAGCATTGCTGCCACGCCCCTCCTCGTCCCATCCTGCCCCGCCCTGTTCGCTCCCTCCCGCTGCTCTATCCTCGCGCCTCCTCCTTCGCGGTCTCCTCGGTTCCACCCTCCCACCCCCGTCCAGTCCTTATGCTTCCTGCAGTTTTCTCGCCCTCCTAGTTGCCATCGCTCTTCTTGCCTCACCCTTTGCATCTTCCCTCTTTGCCGCCGTTTGCCGCTGACCCTCGCCCGCTAGGCAATGCCACCCCTGGCAGCGCGCGCTTAGGATCTGCCCAGCTAGAGCGCTCGCATCTCTCTCCCTGGGCCTCACCCTCGCAGAAGCACCATGCAACGACATGAAAACAATCAAATATGAATCCTGAATATCATGTGCACCGTGAGGTTGTGCTTTGGGGTGGAGGCGATCCGCGAACGTTCGCAACATCGCATGTGCATGTCGATGTGCCTGATGAGCGTCTGGCGTTCGTGATCTGGGATTATTACCTTATGGCTGCGAATAACCCCCAAGGAGTCAAATAGAGATTTCCCAGCCTGGCACAAGGTCGGCCCATGCAGTTGCGACCCCCCCCCAAAAAAAAATGGTTCACCACGTGCATAGCGAAAGGGAGGGGCACGCCGCACTCCGCTGCTTCGAGGGCCATCGGCGCCCCAGGGCGCCAGGGATCCTTGCAAGCGTCGGCCCCAACGCAGGCCGACAGGAGGGTGCATCCAACAACCTCATTCTTGATGTAGGACCCCCCCAATCCTTTCCAGCTGATCGAGCCGAGCCCAGGCGCGCGCGACGACGGGCCTCCAGACATGGCCCCAAGCCTGCGCAGTCATCGAGGTGTCATCGCGATGACACCTCGATGACACCTCCATTCGCCCCAAAAGATCCCTTCTCCCCTCTGCCACGCACCGCGTCCGTAGCCGGACCGCTGGGCCGCCCGCGCAAAAGCAGACGGTGCGAGCAGGGGCGAGGAGAGAGCAAAGGAGGGGAAAAAGGGCAGGATGGTGGGACGGGTGATGAATGGTTTTTGCGACCCGTGCGTCCTCTGTTGTATGCCCCAGCCGTTTGCCCATCATGCGAGAATTAATGTGTCCTATCTGCATGTTCAACGGTATGTTGTTCATTACTTGCCACCTTGCTAGCTCTGATGATATCTGACAAGTTCCCATATCAACCACTTGCTCTATGGGCCCCGTAAAACCCCAGGGATTGAACAGCACCGCCCTCCACAAACATGCTGATACGTAGCGCATAATGGGCCCGAAGTAGAGGCAGTGGAGCTCGTCCACCGCCAAACTGATGTCTGGCGCAGTGCCGATTGTCAAATCAAAAAGTGGGCATCGATGTGCAACCGTGTCAAGACTGACCCTGCCGTCTCGATGTGACCTCCAGAATGTTACATCCAACGGCAGCAATGCCCTATTGAAGTCCCCAATGTCCACCAGTGTGGCCGACGGTTCAAGGCAGCCCCCCTCCAACACGTGTTTGCCGCACACAAATGTATCGCGAATGATGATCCCCCCTTGGATGTAGCTGCTTGTTGTTGATTTCCGCCACCTCAATACATCTAGTATATGTTCTCTCTCGGGCTCGGTGGATATTCTGACGTTGATCTCGCACCTCGCACGCGCTGCTTCGTAGTCGGCCGACGCTCGCAACTGCCAAGGCATCCCTGTGGGAATGTGTATGTAGAGTGTGCAATTCGTGTGAACACAATGTGCAGCACTGGCAAGGGAAGTACTTCGAGTTCCAAGGCGACAGCCAAAGAATGTGCATGTTCACTCCAATCGCCTTTGATGTAGATGCATGCTGCAGTGTACCCCAGCTGCAGATTAGTCGCAGCCCTATTCCCAAGCTCAGATCCACGAGGCCACTCTGACCCATCGTAAAGCCGATCGGAACGACGCCCCGCTTGCATCGCCTCGAACATCCACTTGGATGCAAGTAGGTAGGGAAACCTGCTGCGCCACCCCTTGCACCCACACGTGCAGCTGTCGGATTTTCTAAGGTTCGAGATTCGGTGCCTCCTATTTGACAGGAGGTTCACGCACCACATGCCGAGCACGCTGTCAGTTCGCCCTGCTGCAGGCTTCCGAAATGCGACCCCGCCTAGATAGAAAGCTAGCGGTATGGGCGACGGAAGGCTGTTCTGCTGGCTGTAGATCACGGAAGGGTGATTCTTGTACACGGGAAGATTGGTGACAATTGTATATGCTTCACTGTCTGGCGGGTTCAGTTTATCGTTTATGCTGGGGTCCTTCTCAATCTCGTCTGCAATACTTTCCCACGCGCAACGCGCGAGAACGTTCCGAGGCGCTCCGATCGCTGACCTGTTGGAATTCGAAGGGGCGGGCACAGCCGGCAAATGCTGAATGGCTGGAAGAACATTGCCCACATAATGCTGGTATTTCCCCGATTGCAAGTGCGGCGGTTGCCCATGCAGGCTGAATGCTCCACCTGGGCATCCTGCATCGCTGGCGCGCTGGCACAAGACACAGGAATCGCGAGCCGACAGCTTCGCCTGGCCATATGATGAAAGAAGTAGCCGCAGAAGCTCCGAGCCTGCATCGCGCTGGGATTGGGAACTCAACGACGGCCCTTTGGGAGGTGGCGCCCCATATCTGCGTCGCTTTCTCTTCGGAGCCATAGAGTGGGCCCTGGGGGTGCAGCAAGTGGCGATGCCAACGGTGACGATGACGATGACTGGTATGTGATGGTGGATGGTGTGGATGGTTGATGGGATGTTGATGTTCGGGTAAATGAAACCGGATATGAACATCATGATGGTTGCAGGGCCGTATTCTTGTGATGACGGCATGGTTGTTTGTGCGTTCTGCTTGGGCGATAATGATATGCATGTGGTTGTGTTAGTTATTAGTTATATCGTGCATGAGCGCGCCCGCGCGATGGTGGAGGGGGGGGGGGGGGGGGTGGGCAGGAGAGGAATCGCCTGGAATGAACGCCTGGTTGGACAGAAACCTGGACATGATTCTCTGTGTACCTGGTGCAACTTGCGTAAACAATAATATGTGCACGTTCACTCGCATTGCCGGCTCTTGCAACGCAATGCAAAGTTGCTCAGCAAGATTGAGCACGCCAGACTCTGCGAACCAGCAGCCGACCATGAGCTACCACGGTCCGACACTGAGAGCGAAAGAAAGCACGCGAGCACGCCTAGGTAGGGCATGTCGCACCTAGCTGGGTCCAGCGAGACATGGTTCCCACTGCAGCGCTCTCTCTGAGCCCCCCCAAGGCCCAACGCTCTACATGAGTGGCTGTTCTTCTGAATCTGAACATCTACTGGGTTTGGGGAGGGTGACTAGTGCTATGCAAGATCGGTGACTGAGCGTGCGCAGTCTCGCCTAGGATGGCGCACTTGCGCTGAAAACAAACTTGCGGGCACAACGGCAAGCAGATTGGGGGCCACCCCATCCCCGGAGATTCTGACAGCAATTGGCGGCCCTGCGAAAGCACAAGCCCTACCATCATCACCTAAATCTGCATGGGATGCGCAGCCACACCAGAATATTCCCCACACTTACCAGCATTTTCCCCTAACTTGCCAGCCACCTGCCGATTAGCTGCCCGTCATCGGTCCGTCATCGGTCCGTCATTGGTCTGTCACCGGTCATCGGGGAGGGGTGTCATCGCATTTTTGCTGTAAAAAACACATGGTTTGGTGAGGGGGTGTCATCGCTCGATCTGGTCTGCCGTCATCGGTTTGTCATCGGTCTGTCATCGGGTGGTTTGCTTTAAATCGTTTTTTTTTTTTTTTTTTTTTTTTTTTTTTTTTTTTTTTTCTTCCTTTTTTCTTATATATATATACATATACATACATATATAATTATTATGATTATGCTTATTTTTCTGATATTTTTTCTTTTTTTTTTTTTAAAAAAAAAAAAAAAAAAAAAAAAAAATCAGGTTGTCTTTGCTAAGTGTCGGCTTGGGCTGATTATGCTGGGGCTCCCACTGTACGAAAGACACGTTGCTCGCAGGTCTTGACTTGCCTGGCCAGCGCCGCGCGCGCGGCCAGTAATTGCCCGATGCCATGCAGGGCGCGAGGCGCGCGGGGCGCGGGTGAAACAGCTCACTCAGTGGCCTTGACGGCCTTTTTCTTCTTCTGGAAAACGAGCCCTGGTTTGCCTTTCTTCGCCTTCACCCTGGAAATCCCCACCGGCGTCTTGCAGAAGTAGGAAACCCCCTCCAAGCGGGGGGTCGGCGACAGGAGCTTCGCCAAGGCCGCGCGCGCGTCGCCGTCCCCCAAGTCCTTCCTCACATCGGCCAGACTCTCCGTGAGGATCCGCTTGAGCATCGCGTCCTCTCGGCGGCTGGCAGAGGATGAATGGGGCGCGTCGGAGGAGGGGGCCAGGGCGCGGGGGGCGGAACGGAGCGGGCGGGGGGGGGTCGGAGGGAGAGAAGGAGAAGGAGAGAAAAGACGAAAGAGGCAGAGAGAGAGAGAGAGAGAGAGAGAGAGGGACAACGATATGGACAGAGAGGGGGCGGAATCGAGAGAGAGAGAGAGATAGAGAGAGAGGATGGGCAGGAGAAAGAGGAGGAGAAGGAGGAGGAGGAGAAGGAGGAGGAGGGAGAGGAGGAATAAGAGGGAGCAGAAGGATGAAGGAGGACGACGAGGACAATGAGAAACATGAGGATGGCTGGCAAACGACGAGAAAGGCAACGATCGTGCTTACATACATGATCAAGAGTCCTGGCAAGTCTCACGCAGAGCTCCATCTCCTTCCCCAGGGCGATCCCGTCATCGTCAGTCTTGGCCCGCGCCCGCGCGGGGTCGGTGCCCACCGAGACCAAGACCGTGTTCGCGGAGGAGTTGGTGGAGCTGTACATGCTCAGCGCCTTCCTCGCCTCCCCGAGCTTGATGTCTAAGTCCGTATTGGCCTTCTTCTGCTTGGAGGTCGTCTTCCTCGGCTTGTCCTGGGACTTTCTGCGAAGCGAAGCGTTGTTGGCGAGGGCATCCCCCATCCAACAACGAATCGATTCGCCAACGGGCTAGAGTCGAAGTGTCGTCGGTCGGGATGGGTTGGGGAGACAGAGTTGGACGGGGACATGGTCTGCTTTGGACCCTGCTCCTAGCCGCCGCTGGCATCGAGCTGCTGCTGCTGCTGCTTATGCTGCGGCTGCCCCTGCTGCTTCAGCTCGCCGTCGTCGAGCTCCTCCTCGGCCTCCTCGTCTTCCTCGTCGGCCTGCTCCTTGGCCCGCTTCTCGGGCCCCTTGCTGAGCGCGCTCGATGGGGTGCTCGTCGCCTGCGGCGACTTGGCGGAGATCCTCGCGCGCTTCTTCGGCGGCGGCGACGCGATCGCCAGTGGGCCCGCCTGGCCGAGGAAACACATCAATGGGCAACGTCACTTGGGCAAGCCCCTGGGTTATCCTGGGTCACGAAAATGGCCGACACTCCGAAAGCCCACCCCTGTTTCGCCGAAGCTGCGGTGGGACCTGTAGGTTTGGGCCGTCAGCGCGACGCTGCAGCGACGTCCCCCGTTGATCCCCCCCTTCCCCGTCCGAGCCTTCACCTGATGCGGCGTCTCGAACGTCCTCGTCGCGCCGTACTTGTTTGCCAGCTCGGTCGCCTTGCTGAATGGAACAAACATTCCAACTATCAGCGAGCTTCCGCTCGCCCACCCCTTGGGTCATCGCGGCGCCATCGACGATGGCGCCGCGAGGGCCAACATATCAGAGTGAGGGGGGCGAGCCATCGTTTATTGTCCCTGGGCGCGCGGCTGAAGTGAGGTCTGCTGTGCGGATTGTTGTTGCGGTGTGGCGTTGTTGCAATGTTATTGCAATTGCTAGTGTTGTTGTTGCGTCGTTGCGTTGTTGCTGTCGTCGCCTTCGCCCGCGACCCGCCCCGCGACCCGCCCCGAGACCCTGCCCGCGACCCATCCCGCGATGCACCCGCGACCCACCTACGCTGCTTGGACGAAAACATTGGCGCCTGCGGCGGGCTCGTTGTATACTTTGAAAAATCGGCGCCTGCGGCTGGCCCCCTCTGAGCCTCGCAGACTGCCGACGACCCCGCCGCCCCCTCACTTTCATCCGCAACTGCGGGGTGCTATGCATGCTACACCATTCGGGGTGAGGGCCCAATGATTCACGACACTTAGTGGCCTGCTGGAGCCGCAACGCCTTCGCCTCGTCGGTGGCGATGGGGTTCGAGCACCGCTGCTCGCGCTGGACCCACTGGGTCACGAACTCGCCCTGGAAGCCGCGAGTGGCGCACAGGCCTCTGAGACCCTCCTCGGGGCGCGCAGTGGGACAGATAAAAATGAGGAGATGAGGAGGGAGAGGGGGGGGGGGAGGAGGGAGAGGAGGGGGAGAGAAGGGGAAGAGGAGGGAGAGCAAGGCAAGAACAGGAGTGCGACAGGAGGGAGGGGCGGGAATGAGAACGGGGAGGGCGAAGGGCACCGAGGGGGAGAGGCGTTGGGCGGGCCATTGGGCGGCGCGGGGATCGGCAGGGATCGGTAGGGGAGATATTGAATACCTTGAGGAAAGATGCGAAGAGCCGGGGAGGGCAGAGGATAAGTGGTTCGGTATATACGAAGGGGGGGTTTGCCCTCCTGTCCGTCATGTCGCAGTATGCGGCCCACGGTGGACCAAGTTGGATCGCTGTCATCATGTACTTGCACGCCTGAGCAGCCAATCCCAAGCTGTCATCGAGAGCGCGGGCTGAGTTAGCCGGAGGGAGGACGAGGGGATCAATCGCGGGCAGAGGTCGCTGATCGACCAGAATGGGGCGGGGGGGCAGGACGGGCGAGGAATGCAGCTAGGGCGTGGGGGGGTCACAGAGCGAAGAGACGCTGGAGAGCGAATAATCACGGGCACGGGGTGGCGATTTCATGAACCAGGCCCTTCGGGCCTGCAGCCATCCGAGCTTGCCCCCGCCCTCCTTGTGGGCGATGCGCCCGGTGGGGGCGTAGACGCCCTTGGTGAAGGTCTTCTTGGTCAGGGTGACCACCTTCATCTTATCCTTCTGGTACTTGTCGTACCTCCCCTTCGCCCAGTCGGCCCTGAGCGCGGCCTGGGCCTCGGGGTCCTTGCCGCAGCTCGCGTAGCCCTTGGCCAGCTTGGGGTCGCTCCTCTTCTGGCGGTCGAACTGGGGGGCCAGCTTGTTGCCGCCGCGAGTCGAGGCAGCGAACTTGAAGCCGCGCGCCTTGACCTCCTCCCAGAAGTTGTCCACGGCGGCCTGCTCTGGCGCCGTGGCAGATCTGGCAGGGCCGCCCTCGAGGTCGCCGCCCTGGCAGGGCTCGTCCGCCACGACGTGCTTCTTGTCGAAGCCATTGAGCTTGATCAGATCCGCCAACTCGGCAGACTTGAAGAAACCGGTGATCGCCTCGGCCGCCGCCAGCTCGTCGGCGACCCCGTTGTCCCTCAAGAGCTCCTGCTGGGGACTGTCGCACGACAGGCTTCACCCGAAAGGGCTGAGGTTGAAATGGGGGGGAATGAGGAGGGAGAGAAAGAGGAGGGGAGGGGGGGGGGATGGGGAGGAAGAGGAGGTGGGAGAAGGGGTGAAGGAGGACGACGCAGAACAGGAGGGCATGGAGGAGGAGGATACGGACTGATGAGTAAGGGGGTTATGTTGGCGACTGTGCGCAGGAGAGAGGGCTAGAGGAGACGACGATGCAGAGCAGCAGTGCGGACGACTACAAAGCACATCAGCAAAGGAGACGCGATCAGAAGTTGGGGCGCTCGCTGAACCCTAGAAATGCAAGTGGCAAGCAGTCGGCGATAAGGGGCAGCAAGCATTCTCTACAAGTATGCAGAGTGTCCTCGATCTTGTTCTTGGAGGCCCCCTGCGCCGCGTTGCGCGCAGCGACCGCCTTCTCTGGCGTGAGCACGTCGTCCTCCGCAGATCATCTCCCCCCGCGCACCGCCCGCCCGACCCCGTGTTCATGCGCGAGCTCTGGATTGCCGGCTCCGTCGTGCCCCCAGCCATTTCCAAGGGGCTGATGTTTTCAACGTGCTGGCAGCGGCCGATCTGGACGGAGATGTCATCGCCATGTCATTGACAAGCCATCGCGATGACCCGTCTTTGACACGAGCATGGCGCCTCTAGGGTAGCGTGTGTAGGTGTTGCGCAGCGTTGCCTCCCATGTCGCTCCTTCGGAAGAGAAGGGGCGCCCTGCTCGTCTGGGATCGAAGTGAAACTCGACCTCGAACGAGTTCGACCACCCTGGTGCCTCGGGGGCGTCTCGGCGCCGCCACTGCGACTGCCGCCAGCCCTTCGGAGCTGGGTGGAAGCTTAAGTTCGCACAACCTGCACCCAATCCTTAGAGCGCCCCACGGGGGGGGAGGAGGAGGAGGAGAAGGAGGAGGAGGGGGGGGGGGGGCGGAGGAGGAGGAGGCGGATGAGGATGAGGAAGAGGAAAGCGGCTGCGCGCTCTGCACTCCATGGCCATCAGGCAACAGGAAACAGGAGGAGGAGGAGGAGGGGGAGGATGAGGATGACGACGATGAGGAGGAGGAGGCGAAAGAGGAGGTCGAGGAGGACAACGACAAGGACATAAGAAGCACGAGCAGGAGCATGGCACGATGATGCTGAGCAGATAGAGGAGTTGGTCGCAACGACGACGACACGGAGCGAGGGGGGCAGGGAGCAAGTGGGAACGGATGGGTGGGAAGATGAGAGGGTGAGGGAAGGTTTTCGCTACGTAGGTTCCCCGCCCCCACCTGGGGGAGTTGCCTGGCTTCCACGAGGAGCGTCTCGCATTGGCACACGCCGCAATGTCGTTCGGGTCGATCCCCTTCCGCTCAGCCTCCTCCATCGACAGCCTCAGGGCCGCCTCGAGCTCGGCCTTCCCGCCCAGCTCCACGCGCTTCTTTTCATCCTCCTCGGCGATCGAGGCCAGCATGGCCCGGGTCAAGGGGTCGTGGGGCTGGGCCTCGTCGCTCTCCTTCGGCTCGTCGCCCCCGATGTTGATCCCGTCGCGCTTCAGCGAGTCCCGATCGATCGGCGCCCAGGTGTCGCCAATCTTGCCCTCGAGCTCGGGAGACGATTCTATGGTGGCGCCCGTCTCGGAGCCTGGGTCTGCGACTGCGCTGGCGCCTGGCTCCGCAGCTTGGTCAGAGCCCTCCTCGCGCGAACGTTTTGGAAAGATTTGATGGTGGGGGGGGCCATGAAATGCTTCCAAACGTTTGCAGGGGATGGAATGATTGCGCACAGGGGCGTGGGCAAACTCTAGATGGAGGGCAGCGGGCAAGCGATTTGCACCCATAGTCTCCTTACTGGACTCCTTACTCAACCACTGCGAACGTTTGGCAGCTCGGATCGTTCTCCTCTCGTCTTCCATGGACCGGATCTGCGGGAGCTCGTCGGTCTGGGCGGCGGGGGCTGTGTCGAGCTGAGTCGAGCTGAGGCTGCGCTGTCGACTCCCTTTGGGCGCCCGCGCTCTCCCGCGCCGTCTCGGGCATGGCGTGCGCATCACGTTCCAGAGGCTCCGGAGGGGCCAGGCTCGAGAGCCATTGCGATGGCGGTGCCACTGAGGGGAGACTGATGAAAGCCACTCTGTGGGCCGTATCGGGCAACTTCCCCTTGAGCCCACTACAGTTTTGATAACGGAGCGTTCTGATGACGGAGCGTTCTCAACGTTCTCAGACCAACGTGCAACGTCGTTTTGATAACGGAGCGTTCTGATGACGGAGCGTTCTCAACGTTCTCAGACCAACGTGCAACGTCGCCAGGTTCCAACGATACCGAGACACCCCAGATCGGAAGTTTCCCATGCCCAATTGACCCCCCCCCCCCCCCCCACGACGCAAGGGTTGACGCCCCGCCTCGCTATACTCGTAATTTGTCTTGTTTTTGCATCGGTCTTCGGCCTCAAAACTGAAATCCCCAAGGCATGATTCCACGAAGCCCCCCTGAGACCTCCTACAGCATGATGTGTTGCAGCCCCCTGAGGCTTCCAGAGTGCGACGGCAGTGAGCCCGAGGGTGACCCATCGAGGTTCGAACCGATCGCGATAGCAACCTGGATTTTCTGTCGTCCTGAAATCTGGCCCAACAGAGCTCCCAGAAATCGCTGCGTCTCCGAGCCCGCATCCGTGCTCAGAGCTTGTCAAAATGCGCCCTAAGAACCGGCACCTGCGCTCTACTGCAATTGAGCAGTCCTAAGCTCACTAGACAATGTCCCGCGGATCAATCGGGATCGCGCCCATTTCTGGCAACTCGTTCGACGTGTCCGCGGCCTCCTGCTGGGCCCCCCAGACGCCAGTCGGGGTGAGCACTGGGGGTGCGCGGGGCCTGGGCACGTACGAGCTCAGCATCGTGTGCAGGATCTTCGTCTTCTCTACCGTGGCCGTGCCAGCTGCCGTTGCTGCCGCCGTCGCTGGGGCCGCTGCTGCCATGGGTGCCGACCGTGGGGTTGTCGTCGGAGGCCGCCGCCGCCACCGCTGGTTTCTTCTTGGTCAGCGGCTCGTCGCCCCCATCATCGCTCGACTGCTCGATCTCGTCCTCCGCCTCCTACTCCTCTTCCTCCTCGTCCTTCGCTTCCTCCCCTGGCTCCATCTTGGCGTCCTCAGTGTCGGGGTCGCCGTCGGCGTCGGCGGCCTCCTCATCCTCCTCATCCTCGTCATTTTTTCTTGTGTTTCTTCTTGGCCTCGGTTGCTGGGCGTTTCATGGGACTTCCCAGCGGAGCTGCAGCAGGGCGCTTTCTAACTCCAGGTTTGCTTTCCGAGGCGAGGGCGCGCTGTCTGATCCATTTTTGCTTCGATGCCTCGAGTTCGGGTTTAGCCATCTCCTCCCTGCAATATTTTTTCAACAATCCCACTAGACATCGACTTGCATCATCCGCTGAGGCCGACCCGAACTGTTTCACAGTGAGCTGAAGTAGTTGGCCATTGTGAGCAGCCCGCAGAAGCTCGTTCTGACCGCCGCGAGTGACCCAGTTCAGACTCACCTGCTTATCATGCAAGGTCCCCTTCCGCACGCTGTTGTCCTTCTTGCTAGGGGCCTGCGGCTCGATGTCGCCATGCTTCATGCCAGGGACCTGGCGGTTCGCGGGGCCCCGCACTCCCCTCTACAGTCTCACCGACCACCTCCCTGATCACCATGTCATTCTTCTCCTCCTATCCCTCCTCCTCCTCCTCCTCCTCCTCCTCCCTCCTACTCCTCCTCCTCCTTCTCCTCCTCCCTTTTCGATCCCGCTTCTCGGGCTTCTTTGCGTCCTCCTGCTCCTCCTTGCTTCGTTACCTTAAACCAAGGCCCGGTTTCCCCCCTTCCCCACATCCACCCACCTCCTCCAGAAACACTTGTTCAAACTACGTTTAGGTCTTCATACCCCCGAGACCTCCCAAGTGAAGTCATCGTCCCATTGGGCCACCAGCATGCTGGAGTCCTTGGTGGCCTTGACCACCACGAACTCGGGCGGCTGCTTGAGGTTGTTCATCGGCACGCGCCACGCCGACTATAGGCCGCTTTTTCGAGTTAGCCACCCCGCACTCCCTGTGCTTCTCTCCGAATCTCATGGTTTCGCCTTCCCTCCTCATCCCATCCCCGTCTACCCATTCTTGGCAAATATCCTTTTCATCGTTTCGTTCCACTCTCCACCCCAGCTCCCGCTCCCACGCTCTCTCTTTCTCTCGCTCTTGTTTATATGTTCTATCTCTCTCTCCCTCTCCCTCTCTCTATATATCCCTCCCGTGTAACTTTCTCTCTCTCTCTCTCTCTCTCTCTCTCTCTCTGTCCATATATATATATATATATATATGTGTATGTGCCAGGTCCCCCTCTCTCTCTCTCTGTCTCTCCCTCTCTCTCTATCTCTCTCTCTCCTCTCTATCTCTCTCCTCTCCTCCCCCCCCCCCCCCCTTGTATGTGTTTTCTCTCTCTCTATATATATATATCGTTCTCGCTCTCGCTGTCAATGTCTTTCTCTCTCTCTCTCTGTATCTCTCTCTCTCCCTCTCTCTCTCTCTCTCACACCCCTCTCTCTGTATACGTGCATATACATATGTGTATTGTGTTAGTCATCCCTCTCTCTCTCTCTCTCTCTCTCTGCTTCTCTCTTCCTGTCGTTCTCTCTTACTGTCTCCCTGTCGCCATCTCCCCCCCCCTTCCCCCTTCCCCGCTCTCTCGCTCTCTATCCTCAGGCCCCCATATGCCTTGCTCATCTCTTCGTCCCCCCCCCCCCCCCCCATTCCCTGACCTCTGCTGCACGTTTGTTCGCAATTGCTGCATGCGCTCCATCCCCTCCCCCCCGCTGCTGCTCGCGCCGCCCTGGATGTCAGCGCGCGCCTTCAAGAGCGATGGGGGCGGGGGCGGGGGGCGCGAGCTGCCCAGGCCCCAGGGTGAAACAGCGCCGACGTTTTGAAGCTGACGACGAGCTCTGGCCGCAGGAATGGTTTCGGACACCCCAGGGCCGCCAGGAAACAAATCTACAAC